TCCTGAAAGAACAGGATTGTTCTAGAAACGTGGCGTCACACTGGTTATGTGACTTTGCTGACGCAACACTGCCCCCTCCTTAATATTGTTCGTCCCGAACAATAACCACATATGATAAACCAATAACAATAACTTAATTAAAATGTACAGAATTACAAACACAAAATTACAATTCAACAAAGTCTCTTAATTTTACGGGGCGTATCTTCTTCCGTACTGGTCTCCGTCTTGTTGGCTTCTGCTTCATGTGGGGTTCTTCTGCTTCATCAGTAAATGTCCCATCATCGGTAACAGTCACATCAGTGGTAGTAACTTCACCAAGAGCTTTACCGTTTCCTTCCTCAAAACTGAGTAGAGTTTCTTCTTCGATGGTAGCTTCGTCAGGTGGCACGTCTTCGGCAGCGTCATTTGTTCTGTTTTCCACTTCGTCCCAAGTGAAATGTCCTGGACCGTGATAACGACAAAGCCTGTTGGCATGCACCACTTTTAGTTTACCTCGCCGACCACATTTTACCCGGAAAGTCACGTCTGAGAGACGATCCACTATGTCATATGGGCCTTCCCATGGAGAAGACAACTTAGGAGACTTCCCTTTGGTCTTCCTGGGATTATACAACCATACCTTGTCTCCTGGTTCAAAGCTGACTTCAGTAGATCTCTTATCATAAGTCAACTTCATCGAATCAGCAGACGTTTTCAAGTTTGTATGCACTTGATGGTGAATATCGTCCATCCTTTCCGATAACACTTCCACAAGCTCTGACATATTCGCTGGCAACTCTTCATAAGGTGGGCATCCCTTATGCTTGGGTCCCCTTTTAGCACTATATGTACTGCATGTCTGGCACCATTCTTCCACATCTCGCCTCATACCTATCCAATAAAATCTTTGTCGTATGTGACTCAATGTCTTCTTGATTCCGAGATGTCCTCCTGTTAAATTATCATGGGATCGACGCAACACAATTTCCCGTAACTTCCTCGATATAACTGGTTGCCAAGTCGTCACTTTCCCATCGGTAGTTTGCCATCTCCGTACAAGAATACCATCTGCAAGCTTTAGCTGGTTCCACTGTGCCCAATAGTGCTT